TTTTCGGCAAATTGTTTCTTCAATTTTTTTCTCACTTTAGTTTTACAAGATCAACTAACATAGGTGTGAAGCTATTTCAATTTCAAACTCTACAAAATGAGATTTTTCGAAGCAAAACCTACCACGTTTGAAATCAATGGGTCCATACACCCATTTTCGAATTCGCAGCCAATAATTGGCTTGAGGCTCGATGTTGCTTAAGATTTGCTTGTTTAACTGATTTTTTTACACTTGGTTAACTTGAGTAATTTGTGGTTCGCAAATAGAGCATGGAAAACTAAATAATGATTAAAAACAAAAGCTACTTAATTAAGAAAAGACGTCAACAAAAATACTCAAACAAAAAATTCACATCGCGATTCGAAGAATATATGTCGATAGATAAAACATTTAGCTGAAAATGGCATAGCAAAAACTGGGATATGTAACTAAGCCGCTGAAATAAGGTTTTAAGGTTTTTAACTGAAAATAAATTGTCTGGCCATGAAAAATAGTTTATCTTTGCAAGCATTTCATTCTTAGGCAATTATACCAAAATCACACAAACCAAAACATCCCTGCGAAATGCAAAAATACAAATTACAAGTAAAATAACTGAATAAGCTGAATTTAGAACAGTGGCAGGGGCGGATCTAGAATTTTCTCGATTGGGGCGAATTTTCAAAAGAAATTCAAAAGGTTTGTCGATCTTTTTAAGACTGATCAAATTGACTCTTTGAACTCCCCAGCACACTATAACGACCCTATTTTGACCAAATTTTCTGCGCCGCAAACAAAGTTTTGAAAAACACGCCAAAAATTGTGTTTCTATGCATTTTTTGGAATATTTTGACCAAACATCGCGTTTTTTGGCGCGCTCTCCCCTCAATTTTAGTATACATTGGTCCCAGTGGCGCCTTTAGAAAAACTTCAGGGACAGTCAACCAAAAATGGATATTTCAAAATAGTAAAAGGGGACCCTCTGGCGTGGCAGGGGATCTAATCCCTGAGGTGGTACGTCCGCTCCGCCCCCTTTTAAATACGCTACTGAATAAAGGGGTTAAAAAATCAAACAATATCAAAATAGGGCTGAGCAGGTTTGTTAGGCTGAGCAGCAAGGAATGAGCTGTTGGGTTCATTTTAGAGAAGATGAACCCTGTGACCCTGTGATCATTAATTGCTTTTTGTATGTCAACGAAACCTATTGAAGCTAGAAATTTAGAAGAAACTGAAGAATTCTACAGGCAATTTTTTCTCAGAAAAAATTGCATATAATTTCGGTACTATGTGTATGTCCGTATAAAAACACCCAGCACACACTTGCGTTCGTTTTTAGCCAATTGATGTTCCACCACACGCGGGAACTTCCAATGAACTTCTCGCTTGCTTTCTTGCCGCCCCTTCATGAGCTAAAACTGCAACTTGCGCAATTTGTTGAAATTTTGTTTGCTCATGATAAATACACAAGTCTGCTCGCAAATCATGGCAAGACATCATCTCATTACTTTTTCAAATTACCAAACCAAACATTAAGCAAAAATTCAAAACCACACATTGAACAAAAACATCGAGATTAAAACTATGTTCGCGGGTTGACCAAAAATGCTTGTCATACAATTTTCATAATAGAAAAGTGCTTGTCATACAATTTTGTACAATTCCATACGTACAAAAAATTGTAGGAAAATTCTACTATAAACATGTTTTCTCATATATGAAAACTATATGTAAAACATTTTTTCATAAATTAAATTTTTTTTTTGAGTTTTGCAAAAATGTTTTAAGTTTCGTCCGAAAACTCCGTAACGAAATATTTTCTGACAGAAGAATTTTTTTTTGACAAATTGATGTATATCTTACAATAATGAAGCGTTAAAAATCTCCAGTTTGGTTTCCCATAAAATTCTTTAGTCAATTTTTATTCTTTTCTTTGAGAAATTCAGCCTAGACTTTGTTTTAGACAAACAATAAATTTTTGCATGCAAAATGTTTTTTTTTTCGAAAAATGCCGAATTTAGCATAAAAATGATATTGCGCCTTAAAACTGATGCTAAAAAATTCACTAAAGTTTTGGATTCTTAACTTCGGATTTTTAATATTTTTTGTAGAAAGTAAGAATTGCTTATCATACAATTTCCATTTATGGAAATTGTATGATAAACATTTTTTCCATGCACTCAGTGTATGAAATTGTATGATAACCATTTTCTCGTATAGAATTGTCTGACAAGCATTTTTGTGTATGGAGGTCAACCAGGGATAATAGACAATTTTATTATAGCAGAGTACGTTTTTGTTGTCATATTTTTGTGGATAATAACCAGTTAAGGATTAAAAGGGAGAACGGATTTGAAACACATCCTCAAGATCTCAAGCCCTTTGCCACTCAAAGAGTCCCCCTTGCCTGTCCAACCTGAAAACTTTTTACAAGCGCCTTTGGCGTCAATAGATACTAACTTTGAAGGATGGGGGGAGGTGAACGTGCACTGAAAAAAAAGGCAAGTTTAGGTCAAAAGCGCTGAAAATTTTCTAAAAAAATAGGTTCTTTATAACGCTTTGGAGAGCTCGAAAAAAATTGGTTGACCAAATACAAATGCTAGGATGCTTCTGAAAAAAAATTATGTTCAAAATTCTCTTGAGAAAATCCTGGATCCTCGTCTGGTATTAACAAAAAATCAATTTGCAGCTAACTATCCAATTGAAGTAAAATCAGGCTTCATCATCAAAAAAGATTGCCAATTACTTCTACAAAAAAGCAATATCACTCTAGAATTTAACGAAAAAAGGAGGGACTATAAATGATTCTTACCTTTTGGTCAGCGAAACCACAGCGAAAGATACCATTTTTGTTTTATCTTCAATTGAGAGAAAAAAAAACACTTTAGCCTGTATTTCACAATGAATAAATGAATTCCGCGCTTTTGGGAAATTATCTTAAAAATACTGCTAATTAACAATTTAAAAGCTTTCGGGAATTCCTTTTAAGTTCAGGATCTCAAAAATTGTCGTTTAAATCAAGGAAAAGCACTTATTAGCAGATAATCCTGCATAAGTAAGCAATTACTAAGTGACCAAATCCAAATCTTTAAAGTGTTCCACTATCGCAAGTCTTGATCTAATCTTACAAATGAAATAACCCTAATTTGCTTTCCACGTTGCACTTTTATATCTACAGGAAGCTCTGGGATTTTCTCGAGGGAAGGTCTTGGTCGACCAAGTTGATTTTCCGGGCTCTTAGTCGGTCCGCAAAAAACTGGCATCCTTAAAGAGTGGCTAAAGTGGGATCCTTTAGGTTGTCAGGGGGTCCAGTTCCTGAGGAATATGGCGGAAGAAACCCCTTCCCCCTAAATCCGCTGCTGTTCATAACAAAGATTTTTTTTCTAACCAACAATTTTTTTTTTTTGTAAAAATTGGCCGGACTTTGTCTCAAAAGCTGGAAACACTGAAAACGCCAAAGGATCATTCGCGTCAAGGGCAAAGAGTACGTCATATGGTCTAATTTCTTTTAGCTTTTTTCTCTAAAATGAATCATGTCGTTGTTGTTGTGAAGGCCCTCGCCGCCTTTGTGTGTTACTGTGGCTTTTTCAAGTGAGTTAAGACCGATGTGGTTAACTCATAGAGTAATTTCGGATAGGGTACACCGTCTGCTCGTCACGCTATCTTATTTTCGGCCGGATAGATTCGTGCAACTTCTTAGTCTAATACCGATCCTAATCTTACTCTTATACTTTCTAGTCTCAGGGTGTTTAACTAGTCTCTGCTAGGCTCAATAGATCTAGGGTATACTGGTTTATTGCGGCTGCTGAAGTTCTCTTGGAGAGGCAACTAATTTCTAAGTTAAATTCAAATCTCTCTGGTGCTGAAATTACAAGTAATTTCAGCACTTACAAATAAGTGGATTGTTAGTTAGATGGATTATGATTGGTTGATATTGAATACTTTACAGTGGTGAAAAATATCCAATTTATCCAATCATAAAATATAGCTTAGATCAGGTTCCACCCATCCGGGTTTTACAGAGTTT